ACTCTGTTTCACCTTATGTTGTACCGCAGCGAAGGCTGGAAGAGCGAGCTCATAGCTTTGGCAGCTGCCCTTAATGCACGAGAGCTTGTGCCGACGAGATGTGCCCTGGAGCAAGGTGCTCGCGTTTGTAGCCTTTCCAGCGGTACATCATAAGGTGAAACAGAGTATAGCGTTGGGTCAAGCCGCGGAGATGCTGAAATGATTGGCTGCAGCCATTTACTCGTAAGCGACTAAACAATTCACAGATCATCTAGAGAACAAATTGCTGTGGTGTCTCCACGAGGTTATTGGATAGGCGGCCGGAAAATACCGACACTGATGAATTGTGTACGTCTGAGGTATACATTCTTGTAATTTTAGGGGGCGGTGGTCGTAAGGTTTATTCTCTTCTTATGAATAGGGTTAAGCACTTTCGGTATATTTTTCTTTTCTTTTCATGAAGGTGATAGATATTTAACGAAAAGTAGTTTTCCCTAAATCCTAAAGAAGAAACCATACTGATTGTTCGTTTTATAGGCATCTCTCCCGAAGACTTGCTTGTAGTCGTTGAGTCATAAGTATATTCCCTTGGTCAAATCGTTATGTTAGCTTAACTTTATCGTATCTGTTGTTGCATGGCACAGAAGAAAACAGTGAGTTAATCTGTTAAACTCGTGATGACGTTGAAACAGCAGCGCGCTTTCACCCGCGGCTACGTTAATGGTGTACTTCATGGAGCTCCCGTACGCCGTTCACTTTCATGGTAACGTGACCAGCGCTTTCCAAGTTTCGCCTCCTCACTTGAACACATTGCCCAAGAGGTACAGAACGTATTCCCCGTTCGCCCTTCGTTCCAAACGGAGGATACAGCGGCGTGCCCTCAGTACCAATCCCGGACGTCTAAAGCAGTCACGTGACATCGGTTCGCTTAAATCCGAATCATCGCCAGGGAGGTCGCGTGATCTGTCTCAGGCACAAGATTGGAGCAGACGGCTCGTTGCTATGGCCTTCAGTTTTACACGAGGGCTAAGGGATTGACGGTATACGTATGTACCGTTAGCCCTGTGTCGACACTTCGGAAAGAATCGAACGGCCACCGCTTTTACCCGCATATTATGGTAACCTATAATCTTGGCCTTGTGGGAGGAAACAAAGTTCAGAGATGACCGCTTCTTGAGACCGCGGATCCTTAAGTGACCAGCCCGCAGCAATCTATAATGCTGTTGACCTGCGGCTCCGGCGTTTCACGGTCGGACAAGCTGCTTTCGCAAGGGCCGCATGCTCGTTCGCAGCGCCAGCGGTGCGTCGCTGATTGAACGACCCTTTTCCGCCCGTTCCATTCCCCGACTCGAATGTATACAATCTGCTTCTTCTCGGAGCTACCAAGCAAGAAGCGTCCGTGCCTTGTCGTAAAGACCTCCGTCCGCATTGAGATAAATATATAGTACGCGAATTTATACAAATTTATCTCGATACATTGCTGATGTGGTTAACGGGTGGAACTTGGAACGAAAGCCAATGGTAAAAGTTGAACTTTGCGTTTCACCAAAAACTTAAACCTAAAGAAGCCGAGTGTTTTGGCGAAACGCCGGAGGCCGCTCTCAAACTTCCTTCAAAAGGTTCCTCGTCGAGATCAACGAGCCAGTCTTGCGAAATACATGGTTGTGCACAAAATAAAACAGAACGTAGGCGGTATAGTGGTCGTGCGTGAAGGTGGTTTTATCACATACGCATCACGTCTCCTTAGAAGGACATTACGTAGGGTTCTTTAACTTGCGCGTTGCGCGCGGGGCTCGACTTGAATGTAGGGGTATTTAGACAGGCAGTATATGGTATTCCATCAGTATTCCAACTGAGGACATAGTTTTTTTATTTCTTCGCTTTACGTGGTGCAATCTGGCCAGTAAACTACGACTGCGAACATGGATTCTTCAACGTACATTACACAGCAGCGATTACTTGGCTCGGGCTCAGGTATCTAAAATTGTTTTCACAAAAAAAAAAAAAGAAAAGAAAAACAAGTAGCGTTTTTTAAAATCCTTTTTGATGTACATTGTTTGCTACTGACGAAAGAAAGTTCCAGCTATACGCGGAACGACTGAACACATCTCATCGGGGATAAAAGCTGTCAGGATGACTCCAACCTAAATAGTGAGCATTCACTGGACGCCATATATTGCTGGTCATTGTTCGCAACGCGTGCTCAAAGCTAGCTTCCATTCATCGTCAGCCAAGAACATCGATTCCGAATGGTTTGAACGCACGTTAAAAATAAACATCCATATATTCAGCATACACTATGCATGTCTGTTCTTGGCAGACGATGAATGCAAGTTAGTTTTAAGCATGCGTTGCGAATAACGACCTTAAATAAGTCGTCCAGTGAATGCGCAGTCAGATAGACAGACTTTTATCTACGTCGTATATATCAGCCCCCCCCCCCCCCCCCTTTCCCCCCGACTGAATGCTGCACTGTGATGCCCTAAGAACACCAATCAGATGTCTTCCTTTAATCGCTTCAACCATTAAAAAAGGCAGTCGATGTCACCGCCTCGCCATGGCTCTGCAGTCTCAGTGACAAGAGGGGGTGACGTCGTACACGAGGGAATGACGCACACGACTTTTTGCCACTAAGACTGCTTGTCCCCTGGGCCGTTATAGGTCTTATCTTTTTTATTGGCTTACGTGAATTAAAAATAAATACCCTTTTTTGTGTTCAAGGTGCAGGAACTTCCGAAAATGTGGAGTGTATTTCGTGAAGGAAGTCGCTGACAGCGTGAAGTCACCGGCACTTCATCAACGAGCGGTAATGCACCGCTCGGTGATATGCACAGGGCGTGGCTAGCCCTGTGCATTCATTACCGCTCGGCAGCCAATGAGATGGCGGCATTTGAACGATTAGAACTCTGAGTAACAAATCGGAAAGCAGGAATGTACTAAACCATGCCTTTTTTTTTTTTTTTTACTTTCTTAGGCTGCCAGTAACTATACACAGTGGATATACACCTCTTCGCTTTAATTCAGACCGCAGCCATCGCTACGATCCGATGAGGAGCCAATCAAAAAGCGCCAAAAAGTGCATCGTCACGGCGCCCGTTGTCGAACTCTAAGTGAAACGTGGCAGGGTTAATTCTGCGCGCACCGCAACAGGCTGTGCGCGCACCGCACAGAAGGGCGAACGAACGCGTGACAGTCATGTGACACCAGGGGCTGTTTACCTTCTTCTCAGGCGCGTGTTTGGAATTACTTACATTCCGGTCCAGCGATCTGGGGTGTTTATAGCCTTGGCGTGGTGGACAGGCGAACTTCACGTGACGCTGCCGACCCCTGAATTGCCACTGGTGTGAGGTTGGAGGCTCTCTCCTTTTCCCGGTTTCTCTATCGGTGCAGAGAAGCCACGTGGTTGTGGTTTCTCCTCGGCGAATGCACTTGCTTCCCTTTCCCTCGACCAGAAAACGGGTTTTGGGCCGACTCTCTTTGTCGTATTCGACCCGTGTGACAATTTTGAATATCTTCGCACCTTTAAGAATGCAGTCTTGCTTTCGCGGCTTTGTGTTTGTCTTTTGCTGTCGGTCGTCCATCGGTGTTTGCGACCTCCTTTTACTTGAAAAAAAAAAAAAGAAATTAATTTCGAAGTTTAAACACTGCATTGCGATGCTTTTGCTGGACCATTTAGAGTGATTGAGTGGTAAACAACGTATGGTTTCTTCGAGCACGTCGTTAACCGAACTATTTAACGAATCTCACGTGAAGATTCCAAGAAGGACGCATATTCAGAAAGGACAGGTGAACAGTTTGAGTTGCGTGTCAGTACTCTTGTATACTCCGTTCACCTGTAAGCTAAGTGCATGATAACGCAGGGAGCGGGCTCGGGTGATGAAAGGGAGACTGTGGATTGGTCGAGTGAGTTCGTAGCTCTCATCGCACAGTCAGCTTAGAGGTGAACGGTGTATAGCATAGTGTCGCTTCGCTATCGGTTCTGATGGTCTTTAACCGATATTGCGCCTGATCTCAAAGGCTGTACGCTGAAAACGAAATGACATTGTACGCCTACGTCCGGTCAGAAAATGTATACGCACAGCTGACAAGTGACGTCAGCTTTTGTCACGCGAGAGACATCCTTACGGCCCGAACTGCTTCTTGCGAACGTCGATCACGCTGCTACCTGGACGATCGCCTGTTCAGCAGGATTGATTCCGTGATTTACAAGGTTAATTATAGTGATTTCTGAAGACTGGTTTGGTTGGTTTCGGGCTCCCGATACGAATATTGCTAAAAACGTCCCAGCTAATTTAAAGCAACCGCTGTCACCTGAATTTTCTGCTATTTGTCCTGACAGTGAAGCATTCTTGTGTGAGGCACGGCGGGCGGAGAGTCAAGCGAGGAGTATCTATAAGTGACCTGTTGAGCCTTTCCGCGACTAGGCGGTCTCGTCTCGACTGGAATGCCGGAAGTTAACACACAAACGATGTGGCAGACGACTTGCAGATCAAATCGCCACCATTGTATCATCGTACCCGTTCCCAGATGGCGCTCGCTCCCGACGACTGCTTCGTGTGTTCACGATCTTTCCACTTCTCGTCCCTGGTGTTGCTTATCTCACTTCCTCCCTTATTTACCATAAATCAACTGGTCCCAAGTTTACACGCAGCGCCTGCATGTTCTTATGGTAATAGGCGTAATGGCGCCCGTCTGGCCGCTCTTGCGTGCATCGAAGGACGGGGCCACAGCAGGCAGATCGTCGCTCTCACTTGACCTTGGCAGTCTCCCATCTCCGCCGCGTTACCAGTCCCCCCATATTGTCTGCTCAGCCTACTGATCCACATTTGGTCTTTCTTTTTCTTTTTTTGATTCTTGGAGAGTTAATAGTGTGCAAGTCCTCAGCGGTGCGTTGGTGGTCCTGCTGACAGTCTCGGCGCATTCCCGCAGCGTCGCCTTCAAGCGCGATCCCTTTCCTCGGCATGCGATTTGCATCGGATTACGAGGGGGGCTACTTCGCGCACCAGACTGGATTGCATAAAGTCAACAACCAGATAGGGCGTCGTCGATTCAAGGGCGAGGCTCGCGAGCGAGCCTTTCGGATGAACTCTCCGCGGCTGCCAGGACCGGTCCCCCGGGCGGGCGCAACGGCGGCGGCGGCGGCGCAGGGCACTTTCGCCCGGAACAGCCGACAAAGACGACGGGCAGCGGGGCGACACAGATTCTCGGCCTACTTGCGGCGGCTTTTCACCTTACATAACTGGATTTCCCCGTAGGCCGATGGAACCTGTTCTGCACACAAATAGCAGCGTCACCGGCGTCGATGCTCCGCCATATTGCACGCGGGCGGCCATGTTTGAAGTGCGCGCGTGGCCCCGCACGGCAAAACCCAATCCGGGGCCCCGTGAAAACGGCGGAACTGCACTGCACCGTGGCCCAACGGGGCCCGTCAGACCCCGGCGCTGTGCCTCTCCGCCGAGGCTCGCCGCGGGGGAGGCGGCGAGGCCGTTGGCTTTGTCGGCTGACGTGGGCGCTTGTGCGGCCAATGGCGGTCTGCCCCAGAAAGGCGGGAAAGGGGGTCTCCGCCAAGTAGGCCCTATAAAAGGCCGGCCTACCCGCTGGCACGGGCTTCTCTACTGGCGTCATGGGAACTGGCGCTGTACCGCTCCTGCTGTCGCTGCTGCTGCTACCTCACGGTAGGCAGGGAGGGTCCCCGTGGCCTCGCGGTCTTTGGCCGACCTGGTGTGCTCGCAGGGTCGCTGTCCAGTACACTGGTCAAGCGGCAGATCTCAACGGACATCGAGAACGACGCGGAGCTGTGCAAGGGCCGTTCCCCGTCCGAGTACTTCCGGCTCACAGCCGACGAGGACTGCCGAGATGTAGTCAGGTGTTCGGTGCAGGGCCTCTTGGCTCTGCGCTGTCCGTCCGGCCTCGCCTTCGACATCGACAAGCAGACGTGTGACTGGAAGGCCAACGTGAAGAACTGCGAGCAGCTTGAGAGTGAGTGTCCCCTCAGTGCCCCACTGGGTCTTCCTATCCTACAATGTGCTTTCTTTTCCTCTCTCGTTGTCTAGAGCCCCGTCTGGTGGCCCCCCTCCTGGCAACGGATGAACCCATCTGTGAGACTGGCAAGCTGGCCTGCGGCAATGGCGACTGTATTGCCAAGGAGATGTTCTGTAACGGCAATCCCGACTGCAGCGACGGCTCGGACGAGAACGCCTGCACCGTGGACACTGACCCCAACCGGGCCCCACCCTGCGACCAGAACCAGTGTGTGCTGCCGGATTGCTTCTGTTCAGCCGACGGCACCCAGATCCCCGGTCGCCTGGAACCCAATACGGTGCCGCAGATGATCACCATCACTTTCGACGACGCCATCAACAACAACAACATCGACATCTATGAGAAGATCTTCAAGGAGGGCCGCAACAACCCCAACGGCTGCCAGATCAAGGCCACCTTCTTCGTGTCCCACAAGTACACCAACTACTCGGCCGTGCAGGAGTTGCATCGCAGGGGCCACGAGATGGCCGCCCATTCCATCACGTGAGTGCCATTACACCCCCAACCACTTGCCGACGCCCTTCGCGGGGGCTGTGCATTCTTACGGGCAGGAAAGGGTTGACGCCTCGTCTTCTCGCCCACACTGCTCTGCTTCCGCTTTTTCTTCTTTAGGAGTGACACTACTTTGATGTGGGCGACGGGCTGGGGGATGACGCAATCGCTTTGTCACGCAGGCACAAGCACGTCGAGAAGTACTGGTCCGAGGCCAACTCCGAAGTCTGGGCCAAGGAGATGGCTGGCGTGAGGCTCATCATGGAGCGGTTCGCCAACATCACCGACAACTCGATCGTGGGCGTGCGTGCGCCCTACTTGCGCGTGGGCGGCAACAGCCAGTTCTTTATGATGGAGGAGCAGGCCTTCTTGTACGACTCCACCATCGCGGCGCCGCTGAGCAACCCTCCACTGTGGCCGTACACGCTCTACTTCCGCATGCCGCACAAGTGCCACGGCAACGGACAGAACTGTCCTAGCCGCTCCCACGCCGTCTGGGAAATGGTGATGAACGAGTTAGATCGACGTGACGACCCTAGCTTCGACGAGGAGCTCGCCGGCTGCGCTATGGTCGACAGTTGTAGCAATATCATTTCGGGAGAGCAGTTCTACAACTTCCTCAACCACAACCTGGACAGGCATTACAAGACCAACAGAGCGCCGCTGGGACTTTACTTCCACGCGGGCTGGCTCAAGCTCAACCCGGAGTACCTGGACGCGTTCATCCAGTGGATCGACGAGACCCTGGACAAGAACGACGTGTTCTTCGTCACCATGACTCAGGTGCTGCAATGGATGCAGCAGCCCACCGAGCTGTCCTCAATCCGTGACTTTGCACCCTGGAAGGAGAAGTGTGACGTCAAGGGCCAAGCCTACTGCAGTCTGCCCAACGCCTGCCCGCTGACGACGCGCGAGCTGCCCGGAGAGACAATCCGGCTCCACACGTGTGTCGAATGTCCCCAGAACTACCCGTGGTTGGAGGACCCCACCGGGGACTACTTCGCCTTCCGCAAGTAGACGCCCCCGCCGCACCTGGAGGCCCGACGCCGGCCGCCCGCGTGGCGAGACGTGCCCTCGCCGGAGACCGGTCCGCCGGCCTCGCCGTCTGGACCGATGCCCAAGGACGTCGACCACGTGGGGGCTGCCGGCGAACGGCCGGAATGCCACCGGGCCGCGCTCGCTTCCTCCGGACTCGCTTTCTGCCCATCCGCAGGGACTGCTCAGCCCCGCCGGAAGGGTCCGCACTCCTTGCACGTCCGCGGGACGAGTGCTGTGGTCGACCGCGTTCTCGCAGCCCCGAATGAGCGCAATAAAATCCCCAAAAAGCCCCCAGGGCACCCCAACGCTCGTGCCCCTGTGACTCCGGCCGCCGTATGGCTGACGAGACCCCCTCCCTCTCTGTCAGTGGGACGACTCGGCGTCAGTCCTGGCCGCGGCAAGCTCCATGGGTCCCATCTGGACGACCGGCTTTCTTCGTCGCCACTCCGGGCCAGAACCTTCGGCTCCGAATCTTCAACGTGCGCCGCAGAGTATCTGTCTATTTGTTTTTAGAAGAGTTGTATGTCGAATTTTGCTATTATGCCTGATTTCATTTTCTTTCTTGAATGAAATGCCTTTGTGTAAATGCTTCGATTCAGTGCTTCCTGAACAAGAACAAGCGAAACTTACAGGCCACGTTGTGACGAGTCCTCGACAATTACAGAGAGTTCGGAAGGGTCGAGGGTGTTGTTGTGAGTTAATGTAAAGAGAGACAACCCATTAGAATAAACCATATACATGGGTTGTATAGCAGAGTGAATTGCCCGGAAACGAAGCATGAACTACTTTTGCTGAGCAAGAATGTTTCATTGGAAGCAAAACAAATCTACTGGTGAGTTCATTTAAACGAAAAACAAATTTACGAAGAGAAGATGAGAAAAGTGATGAAAGGTAGTAAGGAAAAAATACTTGGTACTTTGAGGGAACATTACGGAGAAAGATAAGCAAGTTGCCAGACGGTTAAGCAGGTTCGAGTAATCTGCCCCAAGAGTTCCAGGTAAGTAGGAGGAATGCACTTCGGCGACTCGCATTCTTGAAATTACAGGCGCTGTTAGACTCATGGCACAAATAAGGTACGTTAAGTAGTCGTGTGATATTATACTGGGCTGAGATCCAACGAAGTGACCTCGACCCGATCGAACCACGAGCTACAAAAAGAAACAACCTTACTCGATAAAGGCTGCCATTGAGTTTTTCTCGTTGAATTGCGTCATGTGATCCTCATTGATTACTGGTTGAAAGGAGGAAGATAAGATTGAAATGTTCATAACATCAGGGTCGTGCTAACAGGTCGTAATGCGCGCACAGATCGTAGATATCCTCTGTTACATGTTCCTTCGACGTTACACTGTTAGCTTTGTCACGAACCGTTGTTTCTGTATATGTTCACGAAGGTGGTGATGTCACGGTGGAACGATTTCGGGCATCCCCCGAATCTAGACGCCTCAGAACTGTGGCCTTCACGGTCCGTCTAGAACATCCTCATTGCCCTCTGGACCTCCAGTTAACCTTCCGACGTCGTATCAGTCTCAAGTTCCTTCCCAGACACGAGAGCCATCACGTAAAAAGAGAGTTTGCGCCGGACACAGGCCGTTACCAAACCGCGACGACCGAACAAGAAAAAAAAAAGTTAATAAAATTTGTAAGAAACTAGCTGGACCGCAGTGCGCATGTCCGGTGTGTCCACGCGTGCTCTGCGTACAGTGACCAACACCAGGGGTTGGAATGCAGAAGCCCACAAAGCATTCAAGATGGTGCCTCCCTCAACGCGGGCGCCTTTTCGGTAATCAGGCACGCAACGCCAAGCGTTGAACCAGATGAAAAATGCATGAGGGTGTAACTTCGCTCGGTTCTTCTCTCTTTCGCGCTCTCACGCAATCGACGACGGTAAGAACGCTATCGAAGCAGCCCCCCCCCCCCCCCCTTCCTTTTGCTGCCTGGAGAGGAGCGAGCAAGATCAGCGAGCCAGTTGCGTCCAGGTGGGAGAGGAAAGGGCGCGACGCTGTGACCGATAGCCATCTTCAGACCGTTACGTTCGCCGAGACCTGGCTGGGTGCCCGCCGCCGCAGCAACGGGACGCTCTCGCTGCTGACTGCGGTGGCTGTCTGGAAGTTTCTCTCTTAATTTGGGGTGGGTGCCGTTTCTCGGGCCATTCCAGAAGGTTGCCGTTACCTGGTGGATGACTCTGTCCACGGTTACGGGATGGGCCTCGGCTAAAGAGGTCGCGTCCCCTCGGGCAGTTTATAGAAGCGCGCGCTTCGGCTGTGCTGGACCAATACCACCTAAAAGGCAAGGACTACGCATGGCGTGCCTTGTCTTTTAGATGGTATCGGTGACCTGCCGGAAACGAAACCGCGTCCTTAAAGTTTTTTTTTTTTTTTTTAGTTTGTTACTTTCCACTAGAAATCTTTAACCTATGGCCACTGACTCGTTTCAAGAAATAAGACCTGGGCGATGAATTGCGTCTGCAGTACCGTTTGTGACGTCATCAGAGAGTTGTAGTAGACCGTTCCGATAGCTCTGATAACAATACCCGATGCTACGATGACGCCTTTGAGCACGTACGTTGTCGTTCTCGAGTATCGTTATGTGAGTTACTTGAACGATCTGCTAAATCTACTTATTGAGGTCACTGAGATCGAGCGGGATTACGTCATCACATGGTTACGTCACACACGATGTCAGATCGTAGATTTCTATTTTAAGCCGAAACTTTTTTTTTTCTTCTACGTCTTTTCGTATAGTGAGTAGATTGAATCTCTGTTGTGGGTTGAGGAAATTGTTTCGAATGGTGGTATCCGTAAATCGCTCAGATTGGCTCTTCGTTGTGGTGTGCGGACATTTCTTTTTTTTTTTTTTTTTTTTTTTCTTTTAATGGGGTTTCCGTACATTCTTTTGATCTGCCCATAGTTCTGATTTACAGGCAGTTTTTGCAATATGGTGCCCGCAGATACTTCTGAATGGATCTCCGTTGCGGTTTTGGGACATTTTTGAAGAGGCATGGTATCAGGGGATTGCTCTGGTTTGCTCTCTGTGCGGTATGCGGGCATATTTTTTTAACGTGGTGCCCTTATAATCGCTCTGATTTGATCTTAGCAGTAGTTTTCGGGCATATATTCTTGTTGGATTGTGATATTCGTGGGTCGCTCTGACTGGCCCTCTGCAGTGCTCTACGAGCGTTTTTCTTATTATGGTATCCGTAGATCGCTGTGATTGGCTCCCCATTGTTGTTTGTGGACATTCTTTGGGTAGTGTACTTCGAACATGAAAGGTATGCGTATATATACACTTCGTTGTCGCTGGTGCTTCTCGCGTTATGCCCCCTAAAAAAAAAAAAAAAAAAAAAAAAAATATATATATATATATATATATATATATATATATATATATATATATATATATATTAATCCGGCACGTATACTTTTTCGTAAAGCGCGAGAAGGACCAAACACTGCGATATACGAAGCGAGTTAAGCGATCGATGAGGCTGCAAAGACGGTTTTGCTCCGGGACCTTCGCAGGGAAGATGTGCAAGTGAAAAAACATCGTGCTCATGCAATCTGAAAACGAAAGAAGTCCGTGAGTTTACTTCCTTGCATTACATGGAGGCAGTCAATCAGCGTGTATAATAGAAGAATCTTAGCAAATAAAAAAACTAAAAATAGAACTAAAAAAAAGCGATGTGCACTGCCGGCGTTTTGCTTGTTCGTTGCCCCTGCACACATCGCATTTTTCAGGTCTAATCGTATTATGAGCCTTGTTAATCGGTGGGATCCTTTTATTGTTTTCCGTGGTTGGCTTCCTCCGTGTAACGCAGGATATTGAGGTATAGCGTGTGTTCTTTTCGGGTGTGTCCCTACGCAGTGCGTAATAGAGTAACGCGCAGTTCTCGTAAACCAGTCGCGACACGTAAGTTAAATTTTGTTTTATTCGCTAGCCTGGACCATCGGTCGTCACCAGCGCTGCTTGTGTGGGTGCGGTTGTTCGGCGACGTACAACTCGTAGGGGCAGTGCACAGCGTACTGAACCTCCTGCGGCTGACGCTGCGGCTCGGGTTGGGGCTGGGGTTGCGGCGGCGGAGGCATCCAGTGCGTCGGGTGCACGTGGTTCCAGGACACCGGAGGGGGACTCCAGTGCACGGCAGGAGGACTCCAAGCCACCAGGGGCGCTGCGGGGGGTGGACTCCAAGCCACCGGAGGCGCTGCAAGCGGTGTCGGCTGGTGGGCCGGCCAAGCTGCTGGTTGTGCTCTGCGAGAAACGTTGGGAATTGGATTGGGTGCACCCTTTGCAGACTTGTTTCTTGGCCTATATTTGCTTTCCCGAGCTATAGTGGTGAGGGGTGTTCCTTACCACGATATATGGCCCCGTTTGTTGTCAGGTCACGTCTGTGTGCTTGAACACGATTTCAGCTTAACAAATGCGTATCAAAACTGGACAGTTTAAAACGCGATTTTAGAGATAACATCGAAGGATTTGTACGCGTCGTGACAGTGTCGGCGCGACACGGGATTGACGTGAGGTTGCATTGCTAACTCGTAAAATCCGGGACTACTGCCAATTTTGGTCTCGCACCGGAAGTACACAATGCGCCCCATACCCGGTAACTTAGTTTCCGCACTGTTCTATGAAAAATGTAGATATGTCGAGCGGACATGTTCACATGCCACTGATTTGCAAGCGCTACAGTTCCAATGCCCTGTTCGATAAATATTTGCTAAAATATGTGAAGGTGTCGTTGAATTACGTTCGAAAAGGATCGAGTAAAACGTTTCCGCGTTATTCGTAGCCTCTCCAACAGATTTAGGGTCTTATTTGCACTCTGTGAAAGTAGTCTATGACTGAACAATGAAGGAGTCAGAATTTTGCTCAAACCAGGTTCGAACTTCGGTGGCCCCTCTACCAAGAACACATATCTCTGTACCGGTGAGCTAGCTAGATGCTGTCGCAGAAAGGCATAATGAGGGGATGTTAGTGTGAGAGATTACCTCTTTCTGCTACGCTGTCCTTGCAAGGTATTCGTTATTATTTTAGATTTCAGCTTAAATCCAGACGCAGCCGACGTAATGCCATCAATCAAGCAGCGTCAAAAATGCAAGCCACGATGCCTTTTTTTTGGTATATGATTGATTCAGCGAAGATAGAACCCGTACAGAAACATGATGAAAACCATGATGGTGCGTGCGCTTTTCGCCGTCTGCCCGTTCTGACAATGACGGGTCGTTCAGAAAAACTGTCGCTTCACTGTCGCATCATCCCGACCTTACTTCGCATTCTATACTAACGCGATCGATCACGGCAGCTGAAACCCGGTGGTTCTTTTTGTCTTGTCATATGTCTGCATTAATGTTTCAAAGTGACAAAAACCCAACCATAAACATTAGGGCTGTGTGGACACAGCTTCGAATCAAATGACGGAGCGCAATTCCGGTACTCCGTTTCACTCTAGAGGCCAGCCGGCGCTACGAGCCACTGTGGCGAATCAAGAAGCGACAAAAGTACGACGTCACGGCGTTCGTTGTCTCCACACAGGCGCTATACCGAAAGTCCTTTGATACTTGTTTTACAAGAAATGTCAACCAATTCAAA